CATTTTTCCATGTATTTCCATGATTGTTTGTGATGCTTTCATATAGTCTTTGGACCCACAGGTTGAGAAACGCGGATCTAGTCTAACCCCCTGCCTGAGGCAGGATCATCCCTATCTCAACCATCCTATACACTCCATAATCTAAACTCTACATAAGACTGCTGTCAACTCTGACCCAACACAGACCTGACACCCTAACCTGCCACAGATAGAGCAGGGGAATGATGGCAGCCCATGTCCTGCTTCTATGAAATGTTGTCAATATACAGTCAAGCATGAACAACACGTGCCTCCTGAGGCTGGGGGGGAGCATGGTGACCACCCATGGGTGGTGGCGGTGGTGTCAGTGGCAGCGGTGAGTGGGTACTGCCTGCAGGTGGCCACAGTGATATCAGTGGTGAGGGTGGGCCAAGTGGTCCACTCACAGGCAACTGCGGTGATGTCAGTGGTGGCGGGTGGCAAGCAGGGACTGCCTGCAGCCACCGTCCATGCTGTTGTCACTGGCAGGTGGTGAGTGGGGACCACCTGCAGCCACCGCTGGACACATGGGAGGGGCGCGATCACCCACAGAAGTCGGCAGTGGCTTCAGTGGCGGCCAGTCTCAAGGGGGGCATGTGCCCCCCATGTGTTGCCTATACACTCGAGATCCTGGGTAGAGGGCCATGCCCCCTGCTACAGAGGAAGGCAACTCCCCACCGCATTAGGTGAGAATATTTACATAAAGATCACAGACAAGTAAGTGCAGAATGAACTTTACCAGTACCCCATATCAGGAATCTCAGATCTGGGATTCCACAGAGTTAAAAAAATTGTATGTATATAGACACCATCCTATATCATTTTGTGTGCGTGTATTCCTAGGCAGCCAAAGTTCTTTGGGTAAATTTGATATCCTTTATTAAACCAACTCAAATAGTTGGAAAAATTCTTAGCAAGGTTTGGGCACAAATGCCCTTGGTCAAGCTAAGGAGGTGTTTGCAGATGTGTGTATTCCTGACATTTCTCTCTCTCTCTTTCCCCCCCACCCCTTGTAGAATATTGTCAGGATTATATATCCTCTGTGTGTGTGTAAGAGAGAGAGAGAAATTTCAGGATTATACATGTATACATTTATATACATAGGATTATTTCCTATATATAGGATGGTGTATAGGATAGGATGGCATTGGTAAAGTTCATATATATGTGCATTCATATATATATATATATATATATATATATACACACATACACACACATACATATATAGACACACACACACACAGAGGTATTGGTAAAGTTCATATTATATAAATATAAATATACATAAAATATAAATCTATCTATCTATATAAAATCCTGACAATATTCTTCATGGGGAGGAGTGTGTATGTGTGCGTGTGAGAGGGGGAGAAAAGTCAGGATTATATATATTTATATATATAATATGCGTCAGGATTTTCTATATAGAGGGAGAGGAATGAAGCTAAATCTCACACAGATCAAAGGATAGAAATCTGTCGTGTCAGACTGGAAATTCCACCAAGCTAATTCATATATACGTGTAGCTATGTCGTTCTCTGTATCTCCCCCTCCTACCAACACCCCGTGCCCGGGTGTGCCCCACTCCGGTGAGCTCCCAGC